GAGCACCGTGATTCTCCGCTCGACCCTCCCGGCCGCGGATTACTATTTCCGGGCCACCATCGATTTCGACGGCGTCTTTTCCCTCTACCACTATCCGAAAAAGTTCGACAGAAATTCGAAGTGGGAAATTTCCTCCGGCGGTACCTTGCCGGAAAACGTGTGCCTCGCCATTACAGGAGACAAGGGCAGTGGGGCCTGCGGGTACAACAACGTGTGTAGCCTCAAGGACGGGAGGCCCGTGTGCCGATGCCCCGACGGGTTCGTGCTGGTCGACCCAGAAAACGAGTACGGGGACTGCAGGGCAAACTTCAGCGGGGACTGCCTAGGCCGGGCCGGGCCAGGCCGGTATCGGCTGGTAACGGTTCGGGATGTGGACTGGCCGTTGAACGACTACCAGCAGATAAACCCGAGCACGCAAGAAGAGTGTCGTGACGGTTGTCTGAATGATTATCTGTGTGGGGCCGCCATTTTCAGAAGCAACAGCTGCTGGAGAAAGAGGCTGCCTTTGTCTAATGGGAGGGTTGATACAAGTTTGGGCGCTTCGGCCTTTCTCAAGGTCAGGAGGTAAACTTTTGTTTTTTTTTTAAGGTTGGGTTTTGGGAGTAAGTTATTATCTGAATGTAACCAATCAAACAAGTTGAAATTGCTCAATTGAGTTGAACATGAGAGGTGAGAAAAGCCCGTGAAGGTAATGATATGTAGTTTCTTTTGTCTTTGATTGGGATAATAAATTAATGATCACATTTCGTCAAGTTGTAATACTATATTGAGGGCATCTTTGAGCATCTCCAGTCTCATCTTCCATTTTTAGAGTTTCTACCGTAAAATTTCATTGGTTTTACTGTCTCAACAATGTCAGCTAGCGACTCCAACTCGTTCTCTCTATAATTTTCCTCTAAAAGAATATGTTGATGGTTGTTCGTCGATGGTTGTGGAACTCTCTTTTAATACGGGTTAATCGGTGATTACAGGATAGTTATGGTATATTTTAACAATATAGGATATGACAGATCGGGATAAAGTAAATATGCATAAAAACGAAAAGCATGACATAGATATTGTCGATAGGCTGTAGCGATCGACAAAGAAATTACTTTTGTTGAACTTTATTATGATATGTAATGAATACATTAGAGTATGGTGATGGTGATGAGTATGTATGTATAGGTATGATCTCGGAAGATCAAATTATTAGAAATATAAGGGATTGTATATGGTATTGATGTTGGGTTGATCGTCTGATATGTTCTGATCGTGT